TCTTGATGACTAATTTACAGTCTATTGCACAATTAGCGAAATCACAAGAACTCTTAATTAATTCAACCATAAAAGTCAGTCAAGGAACTTAGTCCCTTTGAAGAATAAGATATAAATAAAAGTTCAAAAGAACATAAAAATTGTTTATACGACTTTAAAAAATATGTCATGTAGAATTTCCATGGAGCATCATGAGAGCATTGAAGAAAATTGGATAACCAGGCTAGTCTAAAGGATTTTTCTTTTTCTTTGATTGATACCAAACCTAATCCACCTTTTTCATTGTTACCCCATAAGGTTGAGATTTTGATAAGCGGGACCTTTCCAAACCAAATGAAATCCCGAATAGATTTATCGATACTCTTCAATGCCCAAGATGGAATTTCTACCACCCGAAAGATCTCTTTGTTTCCACATATTTAGTATTTTAGACACTTTGGAACATTTTGACTCCCAATTCAACTTTTCACACTTAAGTTTGTTCAGACCCACGTGTACACCTAGTATTTTCATGCAACCATTCACAAGGGTAACTGGACAGTTGTCACACACAACACTCTTTGATGAACCAGCAAGTAATAGCTGCGACTTATCACGGTTAATTTTTGCACCTGATGCGGATCAATAAACATTAATAGTTTCAATGGCTTCATTAATTGAATCAAAGTTTGATAAAGTTAACGTCACATCATCAGCATGTTGAAAAAGCAGTGACTTGTGGTCACATCCAGGGATGGGAATACCCATGATATTCGGATTCGATTTTATGAGTAAATTCAATGGCTCTGCTGTGAGCACGTAAAGAAGGCAGAGATCGGACACCCCTGACGCACAAAACGACTAATATTAAACGATTTCGAGATGAAACCGTTAATTTTGATACTACTTCTAATACCAAAATACAAGATTTTCAAATTCGAAATAAAAGCATCACCAAAACCAAATTTAGCTAAAAGCGAAAACATGTATTGATGTGAGACCATGTCAAAAGCTTTTTCAGCATCTACGCTTAATAAGAAACAAGGTAGATTATCATGTTCAACATACTCAATAAGTTCTTTAACATTTAGAACATTTACAGAAATGTCCCGACCAGGAATACAGCATATTTGATCAGGCGAAATCAATGCTTCGAGGACTGTTTTTAAACGTAATGCCAATGAACGGGCAAAGCTTTTATAATCTACATTTAGCAAACTAATTGGGCGCCAATGCTTTAAATCACACTTATCTCCCCTGTTTTTGTAAAACAATGAAATTATGCCCCATTTCATAGTTCTGCTTAGTTCCACACATTTTCGAATTTCATTGATCACGTCGAAGGCCAAAAATGAACAAAGAATTCAACTGTTAAACCGTCAACACCTGGCGATTTACGACGTTTCATGCCATTTAGAGCGGAAAATAATTCCTTTTGGGAAATAATAGCTTCACAATGTTCAGCGCTAGCTTCACTTATCTGCTTACTGATGTGATCAAAAATAACATCCTGTTTGTCCTCAGACACTGGCTCATAAGCATAAAGTTTGGAATAAAAATTAACAGCTTCTTGCAGAATGTCATCCGAAGAAGATAGCATAGTTCCAGATGCAGATCGTAACGATCGAATCACATTGGACTCTTGTTTCCGCTTTTCTAAATTAAGAAAGTAATGCGAACACTTATCGGATTCAAGTGAATCTAGAACTTTTGCCCTTAAGATGGCACCCTCACATTTCGAAATTTCATAATATTCAAGCTTGGATTGTAAATCAAAAATAGGAGCATAGTCATAATCATACACTTTACTGGCTTTCAACAAATGAAAATTCAGAGCCGTTTGTAATTGCCAAAATTCATCTTTAGCTCGTTTTCTCTGTTGTTGAGCATAGGATATACTGAAACTCTTAAGGCTGTACTTTAAATTGTCCCACCATACAAGTGGTTCAGTCTGGTACAAGAGGTAAGATGCAGATGATTTTATCATGTTACGGATTTTAAAGCAATACCCAGGATCTTTTAGATAAGAATTATTGAATACCCAAACACCCGATCCTTTCTCATAGTTATCAAAATTCAAAATTAAACTAGCAAAACTATGGTCACTAAAACTGGTATGCGAGACAAAACAATAAAGAGAATGTTTCACTACAGCGGAAGATAAAAATATGTAGTCAATTCGTGATTGTTTTAATTTGCCTTGAACAAGTTGTCTCCGGGTAAACACTGCACTGTTTGGATTTTTACGCTTCCATATGTCACACAATGAATGGTCATTTACAAAGTTAGCAAAAGTACTATCACTTTTGCCATAACATGTCATATTTACTGATTGATCAGAGAAGGGATTCAGAATATCATTAAAATCAACACAAAGTACAACCTTTTTCTGAAAGTAGTAATCGATCAGCAACGGACCGAAAATATTCATGACGCTCTGTTTCATCATTCGGCGCATAAATACATATGAGGGAAAACACATAATCATTTATATCTATTTTGCATTCCAGAGGTCTACCTTTTTGTTCAGCATATACTAGTTCACATTTGTCAATAAACTTGTTAGCGATAAATAAAGCACAACCCTTGAAACCAAAATTGCTACTACTATATAAAATCTCACCATCCCATAAGTGTTTATAAGATTCAATAAAACAATTATCCCAATGTGTCTCTTGCACACACACGAAATCTAAATTTTGCGAATGAAAATAAGAAATAAGTTTTTGAAATTTTACAACATTTTTTAAACCATTTATGTTTATGCTTGCTTTTTTCACCATTATTAACAATATTAAATATAAAACCCCCCAAAAAGTAAGTTTATTTGATTTTTGATTTTTTAACATGACTAATAACTTCCTTGACTGTAGATGGATTTAGTTTTACTTTGCTTGATTTGCGGTCCTGTATCACTTTCAAAACATCACTGTCACTGGATCTCTGCTCAGGTTTATCCTGTCGTTTAACCTTACTTTTGCCGATTCGCGCTGTTCCAGACAAATCTGACGATTGTGAAGAGGAGGCAAAGGCATCAGACATTTCCTGATCATCATCACAATTATTCAAAACACCGTAATTCTTAGTCATACTCTCCAGATTTATATTTTCAATTTTTTCAAGATTAATTTTAACATTTTGCTCAATAACCAGTTTCATTTCATCAACACTGGATTTAACAACATTTTTACCATCAAGATTGTCGCTACGGTCATTAATAACGTCACTATTACTAATATCAACACCATGCGAATCATTTATAACGTCAGAATTTTCAGCAACAGACGCTTTTTTGTAAAATATCAGATTTACCGTAATAGATACCGTTAGAATCAGCACGTGCGTCAGCTACTGAATCAAAAATATCGTCTGATCCAATCTGGACACACTCGCATTTCCAGCCAAACAAATTGCACCTCGGACATAAAACAGACACACAATTCCTTTTACCGTGACCGGGTTGATCACACTTAAAGCACCTAAATTCTGGACAATTTGATAAAACATGTCCAGCTTGGAGACATTTAAAACATACTCTTTCCTGGTCATTATGGCGTATAGAATATGACAGACCATCAAAACTTGTTGCGTAGGGCAAGCTTGAAATTTTATCCGGGAATTGCACCTTGACATAACGCGTACCATCATATTTTTACTTGCCATTGTGGTCAACAGTTTTTTCAGTAGCTTTTACTCCCCAGAAGTGCAATTAGTCAAAAATTTCTTTGTCAGACACATACACAGGTATGTGCATAAATGAAACAACCTTGACACGTGAATTAACAAATTTGCAAAGAAGTCCATCTTCCCCACTAATTAGTCCATCATTTGCAAGAGTTTCTGCAACATCACGATTAATTAGAGTCACATCAAAAGAGTCAGTACATGGCACACATGCTAGAACGGAGTCCTCTCCGAGTTTGTTTTCAACAAGGTCAATAATTTCGTACGTGCTAAACTTGCGTGTGCCAGAGGTCAAGATTTTGACCGTGTTTTCTTTCACTAACAATACAGTGTCGGCCATATTGTCTACTGTCAACAAATTTGGCCAGGGCCAAAGGCCCTCAAAATACAAAAACGTGCACTGATTAAAGACAAATACTACCTTCAATCAAAAGTACATAAATCGATTAACATTTTCAGAAAATCATTAACCATTAATCTGCTCAAATAACTTCGATTAAACTTGATTAGACATTATATAGAAATTTTTGGTTTGGTGTCTTGGCATTTTCTCTCTATGTGGCCTACGGGAAACTTCCAATTCTTTCTGTAATCGTTTTTCCTTTGGTTTGGTGTCTTGTACCGAGTTCTGGCGATCTACCGAGCAGGAAAAGGCCCAACACTTGGGCAAAATAACCCCATTTGTCAAAGTTAGGTCTTGGCATTTTCGCTCTATGTGGCCTATGGGGAACTTCCAATTCTTTCTGTAATTGTTTTTCCTTTGGTTTGGTGGCTTGTACCGAGTGCTGGCGGTCTACCGAGCAGGAAAAGGCCCAACACTTGGGCAAAATAACCCCATTTGGCAAAGTTAGGTCTTGGCATTTTCGCTCTATGTGGCCTATGGGAAACTTCCCATTCTTTCTGTAATCGTTTTTCCTTTGGTTTGGTGTCTTGTACCGAGTGCTAGCGGTCTACCGAGCAGGAAAAGGCCTAACACTTGGGCAAAATAACGCCATTTGACAAAGTTAGGTCTTGGCATTTTCGCTCAATGTGGCCTATGGGAAACTTCCAATTCTTTCTGTAATCGTTTTTCCTTTGGATTGGTGTCTTGTACGGAGTGCTGGTGGTCTACCGAACAGGAAAA